CCTATTTTATGAATCACAGGGGGGCAAAGTCATTTGGCCAAGTGCACACAATTCTGCTGACCAAGCTAAGGACAGAACCTCCCAGTTCTCTTGGGGCCCTATGCTGTGCTTTAACCAGCACATTTCCTAAGACAGCAGGTAGTGTATCCAGAGCCATTCCCTCCTCACCAGCTAAGCCATATTTAGAAGCACCCTTGTGTTTCTCTGCACGGTTTAATACAAGATCTGCGCACACCCCTACATCAACAGATGCACTTCACACAGGGTGTGCCTGTGTCCAGTAGGGAACTCTGGATAATAAATACAGAGCTGAAAAGCTATATTGCTATACTTAAGACTTACAGGAGACTCCAAAAACAGGAGCTATACTTTCATCTCCCCTCCCCTCCCCCAAATAATTCCTTCCTCCTTTACCCTTCCCCACCCCTCAAATCACAGGACTGACACATCCTCAGTAGCATTACGATTAAATTCCCACTTGGTGGTCGGATGTGGAGACCACCATTGTGCTAGGTACTACACAAATAACAAGAAAATGAGAACCTTTATCACAGAGGCAGCTTGAGCATTTATTAATGTCTGGGTCTCTCTCTCAGAGCAGCAAAGCATACGCTCTTTACTCTGCTAGCTCCGTCAGGAGAACAGTTCCACATTACAGCTATGACAGGCTGGCAAAAAAACATGGATCTGGCAAAAGGGATGCAGAAAGAAGGGTTTCTCTCCATGCAGTGCCTAGGTGGATGCATAAGAAGTCAGGGAAGAAAAGGTTCTCCTTCTCTAGCTCTGCGATAGAAAGGGAAAATTGGCATGGCCTGGGTTGAGAGCTTGCATGCACAGCAGGGCCTCCCCAGCAGATTCATACTGTACTATCCCTCCACCCCTCAGCTGTACAATCTATGGCACCTCTACTAGAGCAATCTCAGAACCCAAGCTGCTTTGGAAAACACTCTTCACAGTCCCACAGATTTCATTCACAGGGTGTAAGATGGGGGTGCACCACTGCAATCATTTAGTTCAGTGATAGGATGCTGTGGCATGCAAACTTGCCATGAAATTCTTTGAAGGGTGCTGTGGGATGACACACAAAGTTAGCACTGTCAAGTGTGCAAACATGATTCATGAGATAAACCCAGGAATTTCAAATAGGAATCCAAAGTGTTGAAAACATTCTGGCCTGTTGTGGGCTTCCTGAATTCTCTGCAGCAGAAGAATTGGTCTAGTATTTTTTCTGTAGTCAACAAAAATAGTGAAAAGTAAGAACTGGTATTTTCTAAGGCAGTGGTTTTCAACCTGTGGTCCGTGGACCTCTGGGGGTCTGCAGAATATGTCTAAGGGGGTCTGCAAAAGATGACTACGATCAATCAAAATTACGTGAATACCCACACTTACAATCCACAGGGGTCTGCACTTCCATTCACATTTTTTAGGGGTCCACAAATGAAAAAGGTTGAAAACCACTATTCTAAGGGGCTCCTTTAATCCAATGAGATGGAGAACCCCTGATCTAGCCTGGCCCCCTGCATAACGGACGCCACAGGATGTCCCTGAATTAATTTGTTTGATCCATAGCATCTCTTTTACAGAAACACCCAAATCTTGTGTATTTTGCTGTTCTTACCTATTCCTTTAACCAGGTCACTCCCTCGCCCTTGTTCTGCTGGTTCCCCTTTGCCCCACATATCCAGTGTGAATGACTGGTTCTTCTGTTTCAGGTCTAATGCCAAACTAGTTACTACATATTTCTCTGACCCGGTTTCCTTTATCATTGATGCTCCCCAACCTTCTCCACATGGCCTCTTATGCCAGCCTTGCTACCTCCTCTTACAGCAGCTCTAGCAGTAAAGAACTGCAGGATGGTAACACCCAACAGGGCCTGGAGGCCCAGTGCACTGGGTGCTGTACAAATATGGTAGAGACAGCTCCTGCCTAGAAGAGTTTAGTGTGGGAAAATAGCACCATTAAGCTTCTTTCCTGGTGCTCCTGTTTGGGAAGTCCTCCCTGGCCCTACTGTCATACCACCCTGCGCAAGCCTCTCCCTTGAAATCATTTCTGCCACAAAGTCTCTAAAAAAAGCCCGGCAGCCAAGATGACTCAAAGCCTCGCTGACCTCTGTCACTCTTGTCCCCTTCTCAAACTTACTACCATTGCCCTGCCCTGTGCACATGACCTTTGCTTGTTGTGGCACGCTGAACGGAGCTTGCAGGCTGTGGCAAGAGCTGTATCTTTGTTCTGAAGATGTGGCTAGCTCATTTCTGGGGGCCTGAAAAAAAAATACCCCACCCCCCAACCCAAGAGGACAACTGCATGATGAGCAGCACAGCCTCACACCCCACCTCACGCATCCAGCCTGTTCTATTGGCACATGGCGATCAGAGTGTGTTCGTGAGGCACCACAATATTCACACCAACCAGGGAGTAAGTCTGAACATGGAGACTGTGAAGCAGACACATGAAACAAACCTTTTTTTTTTTTTTTTTTTTTTTTTTTTTTTTTTTTTTTTTTTTTTTTTTAAAGCCGTGCTGCTCCCAGGTGTAGGCCTGACGCTTGGCCTCAGCAATGTTAGCCCCAGTGTAAGAGGGGTGTTGTGATAGTCTGTAGGCTTACACTGGATATTTTCCTTCCTTAGTTATCCCGGAAGCTTTTCTACCCATTCCCTCCAAGCTGCCCTTCTTCATAACATCCACTATCGCCTGCATGACTCATCAGTGAAACAATAGATTTTCAGCTACATCCCACAGCAATGACACACAAAGGGAACCGATCCTTGCTTTTGCAGCAGGTATACACCAGTGTCATAGAGCTAATGCTGCATTACAGCTCCATCACCCTTTACAACATAGACAGAAAAACACACATAAATGGGAGAAACCAGACTGCATAGCATAATTTTCAAAAACCTGGTTTTAAAATTCAGTGAAATTCACTGTATTAATGCTTCACCACCACCACGTCCCGTCCCCCCCCCCC